CTTTTTATACTTTCAATATATTTGTTTTGAACCCAATAGGAGTCTAATTGTTACAATAAGTTATATTTACATAGACACACATGAATGTATCAAAATGGTTTGTTTTCTTATGTTTTCTCTTTAGCCAGAATTTCATTGTTACGATTACTTTGTTTAACAGTCATTATATTTAAATAGACACACATGAATCCATAAACTGTCTATAAAACAACATTATAAGGGTTATTACCCTTCAAATGCCCTTCATTACCATGCAAGAACACAATAAACATGTTTGATTACAATTTAATTAGTTAAAACAAAAATGTTACTTTTACTTTAATTAATGCAACTTTTCTAATATTTGTGCAGAAAAAGCTGTGAAAACGACCTCTTACAGGTTTCTAACTATTTTCAATCATTTTTTCATGTCGGAAAACCTTGGTAAATGCATAAAAAATCGAAATAAAAAATTTGAAAAAATTGCATTTTTCCGACCAAAATCGGTTTTTTGACCTCAATTTACTCGTGATCCGAAAGTTTCCTAAACGGGAGACGTTAACCCTATGCCTAACTTTTTATGCTCTATCGAATGCATATAGTCTCGTCCGGAAATTATTGAGACACCTCGGACACTTCCCTCGTAAGAATATAAATGAAAAGAAGAACCAGGAAAACTGGAAACAACTAACATGATTTTTGCTCTCATTAACATTTTGATTCTGCTTGATTCAGTTTTAATCATTCATCGTCTTATTTTTCCTCTCAAATTACTTGTTACAATTTATTCATCCTTTGCCTCTCATCATCATGCTCATCAATCTCATCTTTCTCAACCTATTCTTTTCTCTGTATTTTTTCTCCTTTCTTTCATCTTCTGCTGATTTACATAACTATATGGTTTTACCAAAAAAACACACAAATACAAACAAATACACGGAAAAAAAAGAAATCGGATGAAGATGAAAATAGATGGCAATTAAGCAAAGAAACAGATCGATCAACAATTTCCTATTATCCTGAAAGTAATTTCATTTGTCCATCAGAAACATTGACCGGTAACACTGGAAATCAAGGAATGGTTCTAAACAATGGACCAAATGATATTCAAATGGATTCATCTGGATCACCATTACCTGTTCATCATTGGATTAGTTCAAGCCAACAACAGCAACAGCAACAACAATCAATTGCTTGTTCCAATTTTAAAGGTTACCAATTGCATCCATTTACATCTGAAACTATTGACATACTTCAAACAGGTCATCATGTATCATTAAACAATTGCACTTATACGGCAACAATTAACCCAAGTACAGTTGGAAATGTGGAGAAAAATTTAACCAACTTAATGGACACTTCATCACTTGTTATCGATGATCACAAAGGAAAATCAATACCAAACGAAACTGGCATCTGACAATTAAAGAACACACCAGTTTGATTGAGAAGCAAAAATTGTTGATATTTAAAAGAAGCTCATTCCTCATCAGCATCATCGTCTTCCGACTATAAATCCACTTCCAT